TGCAGCAGCAGCAGCAGCAGCAGCAGCAGCAGCAGCAGCAGCAGCAGCAGCAGCAGCAGCGGCAGCAGCAGCAGCGGCAGCAGCAGCAGCGGCGGAAGCAGCAAATGCGCATGCAGTGCTACCGCAGCACCGGCAGCGTCTTTGGAATGGACGGCGGCGCAGAAAGACTTCGAACTTATTTTTTCCAAGTCGCCAAGTTTCCTAAGAAACCTGAAGAAGTATTTATTTATTTAATTATTTAATTTAATTATTTAATTTAATTAATTTAATTTAATTAATTTAATTTAATTTAATTAATTTAATTAATTTAATTTAATTGGTTTAATTAATTGTTTAATTTGGTTTAATTTGGTATTTTTGGGTTTGTTGGATTCTTCGTTTTGCTGGATTTGTTGTTTGGCGTTTGTTTGGTTTGCTGTTTGTTTGACTTGCTTTTATTTATTCAATTTAATTAATTATTTAATTTATTTAATTCAATTTAATTTATTTAATTTAATTTAATTAATTTAATTTAATTTAATTAATTTAATTTAATTTAATTTAATTTAATTTAATTATTTAATTAAATTGATTTGTTTTGTTTTTTTTTCAGCTGTCTCCGAAAGAAAAGGACTTGTCGCTTTTGCTGGACACCGACTTCTACGAAAGCAAAAAAAACACTGTCACCGCCAGCATCTTTGAAAAGCTCAATTCGCAAGTAATTTATTTTAATTTAATTTAAATAAATAAATAAATAAATAAATAAATAAATAAATAATTAATTAATTAATTAATTAATTTGTTTAATTAATTAATTATTTAATTAAATTGCTATTTAATGGTGTATAAATATCTTCACGAAAGCAGAGATAACACTGTCACCGCCAGCATCTTTGAAAAACTCAATTCTCAAGTAATTTAATTTATTTTAATTCATTTTAATTCATTTTAATTCATTTTAAATAATAAATAAATAAATAAATAAATAATTGGAAATAAATAAATAATTAGTTCATTAATTTGCTGTTTAATGGTGTATAAATACCTTTACAAAAGCGAAGATAATACTATCGCCGCCAGTATCTTTGAAAAGCTCAATTCCCAAGTAATTTAATTTAATTTAATTTAATTTAATTTAATTTAATTTTAGTTTAATTTAATTATTTCATTCATTTTAAGTAAATAAATAAATAAATAAATAAATAAATAAATAAATAAATAGTTTGACTAATTAGTTCGTAAGTTAGCTATTTAATGGTGCTTAATGACTTGTATGAGAGCAAAAACCAACAGAGCTAATTAGAGATAATTATTTTATTTAATTAAATTAATTACTTATTATAATTAATTTTAAATTAAATTAAATAATTAATTACATTTTTAATTGAATTAATTAATTTAATTTAATTTAATCAAATTAATTAATTAATTACTCTATTTTATTAAGTAACTATCTAATCTAGTTAGCTAAACTGATGATTTTAATTAATTCAACTTATTGTTTAGTCTTATTAATTATTTAGTTACTTAAGTTGCTTTTAACTATTTAGTTAATGAAGTTAATTGTTGTGAATTTAATTAATCAATTAAATTAATTAATTTAGTATCTGGACTTAATTAATTAATTAGATTAATTTAATTAATTAAATTAATTAAATTGATTAAATTAATTAAATTAATTCAATATAATTAATTCAATTAGTTTAATTAAATTAATTAAATAAATAAATTAAATTATTTATTTTTAGTAATTTTGATTTTGTGTTCAGGTTGTTGACGACTCCACTGGCCTCGCCCTCTTCGTCAACGTTGTCAGTTTTTATATTTAATTTAATTTAATTTTATTTTATTTTAAATTAATTTAATTTAATTTGATTTAATTAAATTAAATTTGATTTAATTTAACTTAATTTGATTTAATTTAATTTAATTTGATGTAATTTAATTTAAATTGATTTTAATTTTCTCTTTTTCTTCTTCAGGTCCCTAGAGGCACAGGACACAGAATTGGTATTTTCAAACAATTAAAAAGCAAACAAATAAATAAATAAATAAATAAATAAATAAATAATAAATAAATAGTAAATAATAAATAAATAAATATCAAATAATAAATAAATAATAAATTGAAAAGAATAAATGGCGATTGATAGCTAATAAGCAACAAATAGTAAAATAATTAAATAATTAAATTTAAATAAATAATGCAAATAATTTGAGCTGATTTTTTCTTTCCTTTTTAATATTTCATTTTTATTTATTTATTTTTAAAAATCGTTTTTACTTTTTCTTTTCTAATCTTTTTATTTTTTCTTTTTCACTTTTTTATTTATTTGTTTTTAATTCGCTTTTATTTTTTCTTTTCAAATCTTTTTTATTTGTTTCTTTTTCTTAATTTCATTTTTCTTTCTTCATTTTTCCTTTCATTTGTTTTTCCTTTTACTACATTTCCAAATAAAATTAATTTAAATAAAATTAATTTATTAATTTACTTATTCTTATTTCAAATAATATGTTAATAAAAGGAAATTAATTCAATTATTTATTTATTTACTTTTAATTCAATTTACTTCGATCACATAGTCCAACTAATCTGATCTAATTACATTTGTTAAATCAAATTAAATTAAATTAAATTAAAATTTAATTAAATTAACTTAAATAAATGGATCAATTAAATGAAATGAAACATGCAAATTCAATTTATTAAATTAAATTTAATTTAATTTATTTAATTTAATTTATTTTATTTAATTTAATTTGATTTTCAGATTTGGCATTTCGCCGTGGGCCCCACACGGAGGATTTCTTTTCGCAACTGGGAGTAAGTTTTTTATTAAATTTAAATTAATTAATTAAATTAAATTAAATTAAATTAATTTAAAAGTTAATTAATTAATTAATTAATTAATTAATTAATTGATTAATTAATATATTTGTTATTTTGTTTATTTTATTTTGTTTATTTATTTCGTTTGGTTCTTGTTTTTTAATTTATTTGCTTTTAGTTCTGTCTTTAATTTCGTTTTTATTTTTCCATTTATTTATTTAAATTTAATTCTGTTTGACTTCATTTATTTCGTTAGATTGTTTTTGGTCCATTTCTCCTCCATTTCTTTTTTTTAATTTTAATTTTTGAGGCAAAACCCTAAATTAGGGTTTTGACGGTTTTGCTATTTCCAAGCCAACCCCCACCTTTGTAGTGTTCTCTTCCTTTCCCCCACCTCCAAACCCTAAACCCCAAACCCTAAACCCCCAACCCTACCCCCCAAACCTTCCCCCCAAACCCTAAACCCTAAACCCTAAACCCTAAACCCTCGATTTGCGCGCAGGACTGCGTGACGATGTGGGGCTTCTACAGCAGCAGGAAATATGTGGAGCCTTTGGCAAATGGAGCAGCAATTATAACAAGTTTTATTGAAACCCTTCCCGAAGATGAAATCCCAAACCCTCAAATGAGCCAAGAACAAAGGCAAACCCTAAACCCTAAACCCTAAACCCTAAACCCTAAACCCTAAATCCTAGGCCGTACGGGCGCTGGCGTAGTGCGAACAGTTTTATTGAAACCCTTCCCGAAGATGAAATCCCAAACCCTCAAATGAGCCAAGAACAAAGGCAAACCCTAAACCCTAAACCCTAAACCCTAAACCCTAAACCCTAGGCCCTAGGCCGTAGGGGCGCTGGCGTAGTTCGGACAGTTTTATTGAAACCCTTCCCGAAGATGAAATCCCAAACCCTCAAATGAGCCAAGAACAAAGGCAAACCCTAAACCCTAAACCCTAAACCCTGAAAATGTCTCAACTCTGAAATGCTATAGAGGCTTTTTAAACACTGGCTTCAAGGTCTAGTTTTTAGGGTTTAGGGTTTGAGTTATACTGCATTTATAAACCCTAATAAACCCTAAACCCTAGGCCTTACAAATCGCATGCAAAGAGGCAGCCTGGATCCGCAGTAGCCCTAAACCCTAAACCCTCATAAACCCTAAACCCTCGTAAACCTAAAGGGCCCTCATAAACCCTCGTAAACCCTAGTAAAGCCTCCTAAACCCTAAACCCTGGAGACAAGGCCCTCACATCAGCAGCCATCTGAAGTTGTTCCCTCATTCGAGCCTGAGGGTTTAGGGTTTAGGGTTTAGGGTTTAGGGTTTAGGGTTTTGTTTTTGTTCAGAATCGACCACCTGCTGACGGACCTGCGCATTCTGTTTACGCTGCCGAAAACGAAGTTCACCAACTTGGCCCGAGTACGCAGTGCAGCCTTTAGGGTTTAGGGTTTAGGGTTTAGGGTTTAGGGTTTAGGGTTTAGGGTTTAGGGTTTAGGGCGCCCCCGAGCCCCAAACGAAGCGGCGCTGCCGCTCCAAGGCGCCTCTCGGCGAGCTCTTTGCGGCTGAAAGAACAAAACAGACAAATAAAAACAATTAAAAGAATTAATTTAATTAATTTAATTAATTTAATTAATTTGATTAATTTAATTAATTTATTTCTTTTAAACTTTTCAGGAAAGACTCCTCACTGTCCAGGAAACCGCCTACGCCCTTTGCGCCTGCCAATTCGCTCTCCACTTTTCCGCCACCGTCGGCAGCAGTTTCCCCAGAATTGAAAAACTTGTCAAACAATTCGGAGGTCCATTTTATTCTTTTTCTCCTTTTGGGGGCCCCCAGGGGCCCCCAGGGGCCCCCAGGGGCCCCCGGGGGCCCCGGGGGGCCCCCGGGGGCCCCGGGGGGCCCCCGGGGGGCCCCAGGGGTACCTGTACCCTCCAGGGGGGGCCCAGGGGGCCCCTGGGAGGCCCCAGGGGGCCCCCGGGAGGCCCCAGGGGGCCCCTGGAGGGTACAGGGGGCCCCTGGGGGGCCCCTATGCCCTTTGGGGGCCCATAAGCTTCCTCACTAGCTAGCTGCCTCAGTAGCTAGCTAGTTAGCTAGCTAGCTAGCTGGCTGGCTAGCTAGCTAGCTAGCTAGTTAGCTAGCTAGCCAGTAAGATGGCTAGCTAGCTAACTAGCTAGCTAGCTAGCCATCTGACTGGCTAGCTATGTCGTGGGAGCCTGAGTAGCTAGCTAGCTAGCTACGTCGCTAGCCCTCTGGCTAGCTGGCTAGCCATCGAGTTTGCCAGATAGCTAGCCACCCTTCTAGCCAGTCAACTAGCTAGCTAGCTAGCTAGCTAGCTAGCTAGCTGGCTCCAGAATCTAGCTAGCTAGCTCGCTAGCTAGCTAGCTAGCTAGCTAGGTAGCAGTTGTGCCTCTCCAGCCAGCTGTCTGGCTCGCCGTCGTGCCCAGCTAGCCACCCAGCTTCTGCTGCTGCTGCTGCTGCTGCTGCTGCTGCTGCTGCTGCTGCAGGAAAGAGTCTGACGATGCAGGAAGTTTACGAGCTGCGGACTCGACTGAAAGTTTGTCCTTTCACGGAAGACTTAATTTACAAAGTTGTCAAAGAAAACCCCCAAATGCTGAAGCTCCTCTACAAGGAATTCGAGGTCTGCTGCTGCTGCTGCTGCTGCTGCTGCTGCTGTTTTGCTGCTGCTGCTGTTTTGCTGCTGTTTTGCTGCTGCTGCTGCTGCTGTTTTGCTGCTGCTGCTGCTGCTGCTGTTTTGCTGCTGCTGCTGCTGCTACTACTACTACTACTACTACACTGCTGCTGCTGCTGCTGCTGCTGCTGCTACTACTACTACTACAATGCCGCTGCTGCTGCTGCTGCTGCTGCTGCTGCTGCTTTTGCTGCTGATTGACTTTGTTGTTTGTGGGTGTGTGCAGAGTTTGCACAACCCTCGGGTGGCGGGTCGTAGCGGTTGTTTGGGGAGCGCAGCAGCAGCAGCAGCAGCAGCAGCAGCAGCAGCAGCAGCGTCGCCGTTGCGGGGTCTTGTGGCGCAGCTGGACTCTTTCGAAGCCGTTCCGGTGTTTTTGAAGTTCCTGGAATTTAATTTTTCGATTTTAAAAACTAATTTTTTCGTGCCAGCCAAATGCGGCTTCGGATTTCGACTCTGCGGAGAGTTTTTGCCAAAAGAAGACTTCCAAAACAAACCCTTTTCCGTGGTTTTCCATCTTGCTGCTGCTGCTCTCGGGCTGCACGTGCGCTGCAGCGAAGTGGCGCGCGGGGGTTTGCGGCTGGTGAAAAGTGTGGGGTTTGGGGTGTACGTACAGAACGCGAAGGCGCTCGTTGACGAAGTTTTCAGACTTGCTTTCACTCAACACTTCAAAAATAAAGATCTTTCAGAAGGAGGCAGCAAAGGAGTCATTCTCCTAAACCCTCAACACTCCGAAGAAGAGGCACAGGCCCTCTCCCCGGTGGCTTTCAAGGCCTTCGTCGACAGGTCCGCAAACCCTTTTTTAGGGTTTCGCGGGCGGGGTTTAGGGTTTGGGGGTTGGGGGTTGGGGGG